TATTTAAAGGCTATTTCAGTTTCAAATATAGTAAGTGTTTTAAACACGTTTGTCCTAAAGAGAAGAATATATAAGTTTTATTCTATCTTCCGTGTCTTACTGAGTGGATTTTGTCATCTTCTTGGCAGTTTTCTTCTTCTTGTGGAATACTTTCCTGCTTGTATGTTCCTACATCATTGTTGTTGCCACGTCAGCACACACACACACATCATTGTTGTTGCTACGTCAGCACACACACACACACACACATCATTGTTGTTGCCACGTCAGCACACACACACACATACACCATTGTTGTTGCCACTTCAGCACACATACACCATTGTTGTTGCCGCGTCAGCACACATACACCATTGTTGTTGCCGCGTCAGCACACATACACCATTGTTGCTGCTACATCAACACTTGCAGGTTGTGCATAGCTTCAGAAACAGAGAAACGTCAATAATGAGAAAGCAGTCCACTTTTGATGAATCCAATTCTCCGGGGACGAGGAGGGGGAGTAGGGGATTTTACCACTTTTTTTCTGTACTTTTGGTTTCTGTTTGAGTGCTTTACTATTTAGTGCACTATTCTAAATACTTGTATGTAATAACGTACCATCCTTGTAAACTGTGACGTGTGCAGGAAAAGATATAACGAAGAAAATAAATGTTATTAGTCATCAAATTCCAGATGTAATATAGTTAGATTAATTCAATTTTCTATCTTTACTGACTGTGAAGGGAAAATAAAATTTGACTTGGAACTGTGAGAAATCTTGTCAATAGCTTGTATTTCAAGGGGTGTTAAGGAGAAAAGTAATTGCGATTACGTACACTTGAACGTACAGAGTCCCCCGGTAAGTGTACGAACTTACACTGCGATTACGTACACTTGAACGTACAGATTCCCCCGGTAAGTGTACGAACTTACACGTTGATACATATCGAAGGGTTAGATCTGAAACAACACCAACAACATATTATGGAAGCTTGGTACTGATAATATGGAACTGTGAAGCTGCCAAACTGAGTATTTTAATAACTTGGTTTAGTTTAAAGTAACTGACATTAGTGAATAAAATAATAATTTGTTTGTTTGTATGTTGTTAAGCTTGTTTGTTTGTTTGAAATTAAGCACAAAGCTACACAATGTGCTCTGCCCACCACGGGTATCGAAACCAGGATTCTAGTGTTGTAAGTCCGCAGACATATCGCTGTGCCACTGGGGGGCATGTTGTTAAGCACAACGCTATTTTTGCTCTACCCACCGATGGTATCGAAACCCAATTACTGTATCGTAACAGTAATATAGATATAGCGTACCCTAACAGTAATATAGATATGACGTACACAATGTCAATTAAAGTGAACAGACGTAGCATAAAGTCGTCTCACAACAAAATATTTCACAACCAATATTTTGGTCAACATTTTCATTATACGTATATTATACTGACGAGCTCGGTAGTGAAATATTAGAGTGAACAGGATATATTAAAACGATTTGTAGGAATGCAGATTTACAAGAGAAAAAGAATTATTTGGGCAAGTGTTAATTCAGTTCTATCAACAACTGTTCAGCGAGTAGCTCAGCAATAAGTCTGAGGGCTTACAACGCTAAAAATCGTGTTTCGATAGCCGCAGTAGGCATAACACATATGGTTCATTGCGTAGTTTTCGCGCCTAACAACAATCAAACAGACAAAAGATACATGGTGAACATTTACAGCTACAATTTTATTCCACTTTGACCAGCATGCCGAGTGATTTCAATATATGTCAGTCACTTGAGTGGCATTTCTCCATTAATAGAATATAGAAAATTCTAGAATTTATAGAAGATATGCATTCTAGATGATGGCGGTGGATGGAGAAAATGAACTTGTATTATTTAAAACGATTCTCAACTCGTTACGTTTTGAGTTTGATTGGATCAAAATGAAGACTACATATGTGTTACAAATGCTTCGTCCAGTACGAGTTCCTTCTGTTTAAGCAATCGAGGGCTTGACACTTCAGATCTGTCACTAGCATGTTCATTTTGCAACTTCAAAACATAACTCTTTCCTTCTCGGGAAAAGTGATGAAATTCCAGCGTGTCAAGGTTAAGAAATATCACTCTGAAATAGAACTTGAAACTTGACAAATCCGTGATGGGTATGAACATTTCTCTAAATAGATTGAAGTAAGTAATATTTTGTAGCCTCGAGAATAGATTCTTAGACAACTACGTGATATGACGTACAATTGTTTGTTTGTTTGTTTGGAATTTCGTGCAAAGCTACACGAGGGCTATTTGCGCTAGCCGTCCCTAATTTAGCAGTGCAAGACTAGAGGGAAGGCAGCTAGTCATCACCACCCACCGCCAACTCTTGGGCTGCTTTTTTACCAACGAATAGTGGGATTGACAGTCACATTATAACGCCCCCACGGCTGAAAGGGCGATCATGTTTGGTGTGACGGGGATTCGAACCCGCGACCCTCAGATTGCGAGTCGAGCGCTCTAACCACCTGGACATGCCGGACCATGACGTACAATTGGAATTCGAGTTGTACTTTGAAATCCTGTATCGAAACCTAATAAAATATTGTATTTACCTAAGGATTTTCTAGATGTTTTATTACAGCAATAACTAACAATATATATATTTTTCCACACGAGTAGTGATTAGCTTTGCCGGCTGCAGGTCTGAAAGTCCAAAGTTCAAATTGTGATATGACCCTGAACAATCTCCGCCCTTTCAGCCATGGGATCACTACAACTGGACAGCTAGTCCCGTTATTAGGTTGTGAGTAGCCGCATGGGCGGCGGATGGTATTATCTTGCTGTTCTATCTATGGTCAATACATTTTAAATTAGGAATAGTAATGTAAGTTCGTCTAAGTAGTCGTTCAAGTGGAAAGTAGCAGATATAGCAAATTTGACTTTTATGTGAATGTATTTAAATACAAACAATGGCCCAGCATGTCCAGGTGGTTAGGGCGCTCGACTCGCAATCTGAGGGTCGTGGGTTAGAATCCCCGTCCCACGAACCATGCTCGCCCTTTCAGCCGTGGGGGCGTTATAATGTGACGGTCAATCCCACTATTCGTTGGTAAACAAGTAGCCCAAGAGTTGACGGTGGGTGGTGATGACTAGCTGCCTTCCCTCTCATCTTACACTGCTAAATTAGGGACGGCCAGCGCAGATAGCCCTCGTGTAGCTTTGCGCGAAATTCAAAATATAAACAACACCGAAAGATTGTTCAAAAATACAAGGTGTATTAGAAAGTGTGTATCTCGTACTGTTGTTCTGTTTATTGGTCTTTCAAATCATAATATTATTATTATTATTATTATTATGGACTAGCACTGAAATTGTCCTATTGAATTGGAAATCATTCGACAAGTCAACTAAATAAAATAAAAAAAGAATAATTCATGCTTTAAATAACAATAAAAAGAAATGAAATTCAGTCATTCTTTCTTAACATTCAAAATAACAAACCTTAAGCCTAAAACAACCACAGAAGAATTATCTAAAGCTATCGTTCTCACTGTAAACTTCAAGTGTGGCCTATATAGGAATATAATCCAAATTGTCTGAAAGTTTATCAATAACGTATAAGCTCTTAATTATTAATCTGCCTTCTTATCTGCCTTGAATTAAAATGGTTGAGACGGTACACACTGGTAGGCTTAACCAATTAAATTATAATAGTTATTTTTAAACATTTTCATCCGTTTATAAGAGTTGAAATGTACATTCGCACGTGATATTTTAATTAAATTTCTTATCTCAGTTTGAACTTAAGTGATAAGATGAAGATAAAGTTAGAAGGTATTTCAAAACTTGAATATTTTGGTTAATAAACGTACTATCTATATCACATATATGACCTGAGTGTGCTACTGAACATGTGACTTTTGTCTGGGCTTACGTGTAAATGTTGTTTGTTTGTTTTTTCGGATTTCGCGCAAAGCTACACGAGGGCTATCTGCGCTAGCCGTCCCTAATTTAGCAGTGATAGGCTAGAGGAAAGGCAGCTAGTCAACACTACACACACTTT